GACCAGCTCCTGCCTGTGGAGCTGCTTTTAAGCTGAGCCTCTGCCGTTTGGCCCCTGCCTGAGCTACAGCTCCTGCCATCTTTCAAATTCTTATTTTATTGTAATTTTTCTTCTTGGAATATTCTCATACCATTCATAATTGCTATATTTTATTTCCTGAAATCCTGTCTTATTTGCCTGTATGCTATTTTTCTTCAGAGCTGTTAATCTATTTTCAAAACATTTGAAACTACCTATGATTAGTTTTTCTCCACCATGAACTATAGCTTCCCAGGATATATAGTCTCCCTTTTGATCTTCAACTGTTTGGAAGTATTTTTTTAACACATTTCCTTGTACCATTTGCTGAGGGGGAAAATAAGGCTCAGCATGGCTTCCAGAATGAGGTAATTTTTGTTTGCAAATAAATTTAGTTCCTTGGTTTATTTTGGAAATAGATCAGCTGTCACAGATCCTAGAGGGCGGCATCACTGAGTTCAGTTTATTGAAACAGAAATGACAGAATGTCAATTAGCTTTTCCATTACATGCTATATGAACAAAAGCTACTGTGCAAGGCCAAAGTGAATTTATGTAAGTATCAGCTGTACAGATCCCTTTTATCTGTCTACAAAGAAAAGAAAAAAGAACTTTTTTTTTTATTAATAAGCATTTTCCTTGGATTTCTTTATCTACAAGCATCAGAATTACTGTGATATGCAGTACAGGCAACTTCAAACCTTGAAAAGTAGTGGCAAGGTATCAAAAATAATGTAACAGCTTCCCAAATCCCTACCCACTGGCTTTTTGTCCATTATCTACACCTCCAGTGTATGTCTAACAAGTTTAAAAGCTGCAAACTGTCCAATGTATGCAGTAAGGCAGTGAAAAGTGGCTTCTACTACTGAAATACCTTCTGGGGGATACCACCATGACCTGGACCACAGGGTGGTCATCACTTCAGTACACACAAGGCAGGAGAGAGAACTTCCCCCAAGTGGTTGCAGGCAAGTAGGAAACCACAGTGATTTTGTGATGGTGGGAACTGGAGCTCATCATACATACATCACTTTGTCAAAACTCACATCAGATACCTACCAAATGAGAATAGATGTTTTTTTTGATAAACCAAACTACAAAGGGCAACACAATATGTATTTTACTGAAATATTTTAGTGTTATTTATGTGGTGAAAGGAAAATGGTGTGCATCCAGATTTGAGCTGTTCACTCCTGGCTCAGGAAGCATTGGTCTGGTTACTTCTCACACCACAGGCCATTCCTGACTGTTTCATCTCCAAGGGCTCAGTCTCATTCTGGAAGTAAAAATACGAGGCCCTGTTATTTGGACTGAAGACCAGATCTTCCACCTTTGATGCAGTAGCCGTTGTAAACCTCTCTGTATGGTCTAAGCCACAGAAGATGTCCCAGCTCTAATGAACCAGCGTAACTTACAGAATTACCCAATCTTGTAAGCATTTTTTGAGAAACTGTATGGCAAAACCTCAAACTGCCTGGTTTGCCTCTGGCTGGACTGAGAGTTTTGCAGCTCTACCAGAAGTGACCTGTGGAAGTTCTGTTATCTGTTATATAGCTGCTAAAAAAGAGACCATCTCCTGCAGATATGAACTTTGCCTCCTGAGGGATGCCAAAACATTAATGTCAGCCGATAGAAGAACTGGAGATAGAATTCATCATTTCAAGGTTGCAGCTTGAGTGTGCTTTTTTGTGAAATAATCTCTTGTTTTCCTTATCTTGCTACCCACCAGCTGTCTCAAGAAGACAAAAAAAATACTATCACATCAGATTTCCTGTGTATCAAGAGCCAAAATTCTGTTTCTTGTGATAATTATGTAAGAAAACATACAACAGTCACCACAGGCCACACTGGAAGGCGTTACAACACCGAAGAGGGTCTTCTAGTGCTTCCAAAATCCACCATATTTGACAGTAAAATAATCTTGTTTCAGAAAGACAGTTATATAAACCAGAAGAAGTGACACCTTCTATGCTTCTTAATGGGGAAACAATAAATACTTCATTCCCACTGATCCCACAGGCCTGCCAGATGACTACCTGCTTCAACTGAGATATTAGCTAAATCTGTGATTTCAGCTTTTTTGTCTTTGTTTTCTTCCTCTGAATACATTTGCAGAAACTGTGAGGTAATGCAGGAGCATATCATCCAGTGTGGGAAAGGAAAAGGAAATTGTCGGTTTTGGTGGAAGCTCACGAGTGTTTAATCAAGGTCTGTGGCCTGAAATCTGTAGGAAAGGAAATGTAGGATTTCCTGTGCATTGGTGATCCGTCCTGGAGGTGGGTGTTGATTAGAGGTTTATGCAGAGAAGTGAAAGATAGTTTTTAGGAAGGATTCTTCGCTTATGTTACAGTGCAAGGACAGAAAAGGGAACCATGGACACACCCACAGTGCAGTAAGACCCGGAGCTGGCGTGTCGCAAGAGTAACTGTCTTTCACTGAACTTCTTTTATGTGTGTACCCCCAACGCACCAAGTACACCAAGGGTAGAGCACAAATCCGTTGGATACCTGCTTTCTTCACAGCACATTTTTCACTTTCACCACAGGAAGGCATGCCAGGGACAAGTGTTCTCGCTGGCAGCTACAGCTTCGCACTCAGAGTCTGCAAGGTTATCGAGGTTACTGCAAAGACAAATTGGACAAATTATGCTAAAGAGCTGCAGAACCAGTGGTCCATTAACTGCCTGTCCCTGGTCAACTGTGCATTGTCCAACCTGAACCTGAACACTGAATCGAATAAAATCTCCTGCAGAGATGAAGGCATGTGTTAACTACATATGTGACCCTTCTGAAGCACAGCTGCAGGAAAATGATAGACTGCAGGCTAGTCCTGCAACCAATTTGGTATTCCATGACTGCTGAAGCTGCAAAATGAAACATGCCTGAGCAGTATAGGACATTGTGGAGGCAGTGGGACAGGACTGGCTTCAAATGCAGTGGCAGACACTTCAGAAACAACCTGAGGTGTGCTCATCTGAAATCTGTGTCCTTCGGATGCAAGCTACCATTGCGTTCCTCTGAGACATTCACCCAGAGCTTGTAGATAAGCTGCAGGACTTAGAAGAAACCAGTGTCCTTCTGGGGCAGCTTCTGGAGGTCTAGAGGTCAAGCAGATACCTCAGATCATTCAAAATGG